TTGAAAAAAATAGAAAATATTTAAAATGAAAGAAAAAACAGTAGTTTCGAAGAAAAACACTAAACAATCAATTAAAAGACAAACTTATAAAACCAGCGAATGTTGCTGGCTAAAATTCCGTCGAGTCCTCCTTCCTTTTTCTTTTTTTCAGAGAATGAAGGAGCGAATGGAGAAAGCGGAGATAGGAGATCTGGAGGAAGAAAGGAAGGAGGGGAGAGGGAAAGAAAACAATGGACATAAAACGGAAGAGTACAAAAACAGACTTCAGGCGTCACACTTTGTTCAGAAGCTGGCGAAGAAAGGCGATAGACAAAAATACAGTCTCTTAACCAACAGAAAGGAAAATTCTTGTTGAAAAAATACATTGTCCAGTCATAAAAAAAACTCCATCTTTGCACTGTTCTTTTTTGACCTTTGTTATTTGTTGCTATCTTTGCTATTTTGCTAGTGAAGCAGGGAAAAAGTTGAAGTGATTTTGAGAAAAGCATTTTATTCCTGATATTTTTTTAAAGTCTCTTCTTCTTCCTCGTCTACCAAACAAACCAGAAGTGAGCTTTCAATGGCCAAAGATCTTCTTGATTTAAAATTTTCTTCCTCCCTTTTTTCCCCACCCCTTTCAGCTTTCTATCTCTTCCATAACAGCGACGACAGCAACAAGAAAAATTGCAGAAAAATTGCTTATGTAAGTAAATTTTGTTAAGTTTTCAGATCATAAATAAGTAAAAAGCTTCCTTATGTTTGTTCTTATGTCATACTCCCTTACCTCCATTTAGTAGTACAAAGGCCGGAAAAAGAAACACAGGCTGTTAACAAGGCATTCCCATTTAAAAACTTTCATCTCTAGTTCCTTTTTTTATCGCCAGCACTTATCCATTAGTGTCTGCTGAACGTTTCTGCTGCATTTTCCTGCTTTCTTCCCATTTTTCCCGTATTCCACTAAGCGATATTTAGATGCTAGATAAAAAAAGACACCATAAAGAAGAGAAACAGGAAGAATCAACATAAAATTGCAATTTGATGAGAACCAGAGAAAAACAATAAAATAATGTAGCAGTAAAAGAAGTAGTGAAAAAGATTTAAAGAATGAGAGGAAGAGGAAGTAAAAAGGAAAATGGATTTGTATGAGATGCTACACTGTTCTTTGCCTAAAACTGAAAGAAAAAAAAATGAAAGCAACTACAAATAGAGATATGGAAATACATCCCGTAAAAATTTGTATTTCACAATTTGTGATGATCACACCTAAAAATAGTGAGACATATTCAGCAAATCGTCCATTTGAAAGACTCATTATTAGTGCTATTGCTTATTAAGGTATCGTAACTTTAGCGGCACTCGATCACAGGAATCTAATGATGAGATAAGTTGTGGCAACCATAACAATGCATGAGTTAAACCAATAACGTTGACCAACACAACAGTTTGGTAAAAGACACGTATCAAATAGGCTGGAATCAACGGCAGTGTGCACAGTCCGATAAGCGTCGAAAGACCGGCTTGCAAGACCGGCCAGGCAACCACAGTTAATGTATCGTATACCTAAAACGACAACGGTTTATACCAAACTGCACTGATCGAAAGTTCAGCAATTTTTTACTGTTGCTGCTGATGTTCGTTTATCGAGTTAGTTTATAACGACATTTAAATGGTGTGTCTTGTTTTCAGAGAAATAAGAGTCATTTCCAGTCTTTAATAGCAGCTAAGAATACCACAGCACATTTATTATCTGTAAGCAATAAGAACGCTTAACCTTCTCTTCAGCTGTTCGCTTTTCAGATCGATGATAACGGTAACAGATGTGTACGGAAAAGTCTACTGCCAAACCGATAGCCATAACTATACAACCCGTTGAAACTGAATCTAAATCGCTTCCCCAAAGAGAGAGGCCAGCGCATACACCCATCGATATTGACAGTAAACTCCATGTCATAAAGAATACAGATTGCTGGAAAGACAAGTAAATGAAAGAAAAAAATTTTTACAGAAACCTAGCTGAATAATCTTTTTTTTTTTTTATCCTTTTTCATTTCTGTTTGACATCGTTCAGTAATAAGAATTGCTTATCCGATTAACGATGATTATTATGTAAACATAAATAAATATATAGATGAACAAATTAGGACAAACAAAAAAAAAATTAACCATATCCGGCAAAAAGAATGTTGAAATTATAGCCATTACAGCAATTGCTGAACCAATTGACTGCATCGATGACGGTGCAATGCTTTTCCGCTGATCGATCAAAAATGGAGTAAAAATATCAGCCAAGAACATATCATATTCCGGATATTCGGCTATAAGTCTTCTCCAATAGAAAAGTTCAGCCTGGAGCAATACAGTTAAGACAGGAATAAAAAAA